GGTGCCTTCAGTGCTTTGTGGCTGTGTGGGGGATGTTTCCAGCAGGCCTCTGCTGGATTGCCTGCTGAGGGCAATTTTCACATTCTTTGCACAAACTTTCATGGGTCTAACTCATGCGTGTGCCCTTCAGTAGTCATCTGCACAGCTAGAGCGAGATTTACATCTCCAAATCCCATCAGGGCATAATGGCCTTCGATTATTAAGTAAGCAAAATTATCAGTCACCATAAGAACACATGGCATCCATCAGCAAAGAGCCCAAGCAGAGCACCTGCTGCCAGGGTACTCGCTTCATGCCGTGCTACATTTCTGTGAAAAACGGAAGTTTCAGCCCTGAGTGTTCCATAAGCAAGCATGAGTGCCTGATCTATTTCAATCACAGCTCTGCAAGTGAGCAACTCGGCAAGCAAGCTTCAAAGGAGCAAGAAACTCAGTGCCTCCAGAGCAAGAAGTGTAAAATCCATCTTGACTGCATGCTCAGAAAATAACAGAAGTGTGTAAGGGGGAGGGAAAAGCTGGCTAGCAGAGCTATAGCTATAAAAAGAGTGTATTTATGATGCACACCTGCGTGAAGCACTTGGCTATGCTGGAAATAGGTATGTCCGTGCACATATGCAGGATCTTGTGAGTTCAGTTTCACCTGCTGGGACATGGGCCCTCTGGCACCCGCCTGCTGCATTCAAGGCTTACTTGGATGTGTTGCTGCTAATATGGGTCTGAGTAGCAGAACTTGGGCTGCTATCAAAGGGTATGTTTTTAGTTGTGTAGGTGCAGGTCCTTTTGGTAAAGTCTTACTGGGAAAGAGGAAAAGAAAGGACACTACAGTAAAGAAACATCATTGAACCAAACTGCAACACTTGGAGTAGTGAGACTGCTGCATCAATGGATACAATGGCTATTTCAGTGAACTAACTATTTGGTTACATTGCTAAAACAGACCTTTATCAAGCAACTGCTTAAGGAAATGCATGTGCCTTTTCCTTGAAGTATACATTTTTTTAGAATAATCAAGGAAAAGCAAAGAGATTTCTGCAATGCTCCTGGAAGCATGGAAAATAATCATTTTCCTTGGATTTTATGAAAATATTCTTCCCCACGTTTTCTCTTCAATCCTCTTGTTGAATCAATGTAGAATGCTGAGTGGGGTGAGTACGATTAATGTATTATTTCCAAATTAGCAGAATGTAGCATAAGAAGAGCAAGGTAACAATATGAGCAATGTGGGAAAACTCAAACATTGATTTATTCTTGTTTAATTATTCCATGTGTTTTGATGTTCCCAAATTTATTTATTTGTTTATCTATCTATCTATCTATTTATTTATTTATATTTTAAAATATTTGTTTGTTTGTTTGTTTGTTTGTTTGTTTGTTTGTTTGTTTATTTATTTATTTATTTATTTATTAAGGTTCAGTTTGGATGAAGTCTAAAATTGGCCAAATGGATCGTGTATCCTATCCTAAAAATGAGATTTGCATCTACAAGTTCAGAGTCTTGGGAATAAAAATCTCCCCCACTGTACATAACTCTGTAAAATTTCTGAAGAGGTGAAATGTCACATTATGAAGAGATGGAAAATGCATTAGGAGAGAATGAGTTCATCTTCCTGACACAGAACAGTCTCTGCACAATAATGGAATTATGACAGGCTTGGATGTTTGAGGAAGTCTATACCGCTGTCTGTGCTGCATTTGGTTTCTGTAGGAATGGATTTCCATTCTCATTAATGGCTTTCTCTGAGCTATTGCAAACTCTAAAATGAGAAATAAAGCCATAATTTTGGGAAGACCTGCCACAACCACTTGGGGACATTGCAGCTTTCTTTGTAGAAAATAAATACAGAGGAGATACTGAAGTATTTTTGAGATATGGAGTTCTGCCATAGACAAAAAATGCGTAGAAGTAGAGGACAGAGTTGTGATATAGTTTGTATGACTGCTACTTCTACCTGTGTAAGGGCAGGGGGAGATGAGGAGTGGGTGCATTTTTTGCTTTGCCCCAGGACCCTGGATGAGCTGAAATGCAGTGAAGGAAGAAAACATGTTAGTCTGTTATTGCTGAGAAGTGTGTGGAGCAGATGAATCGTTTCCTGAAGCCGTTTAGGCAGGACAAATGGTAGAACTGCATGATTGTACTGTGTTTTCACTGCATACTTCACTGATGTTGAACACTGTATTCTTTCTGATGACTAATGAACAGTTTTATAAACATGTAGTGTAAATGAGATTTTTTGAAACATTTTTATATACATGCATAATATATACAAATATCTAATATTTTGTACGTGTGTGTGTATATATATATCTGTGTGTGTGTGTGTACACATATATATACTCTATATCTTGTACCAAGCACTAGCAGGACAGCTGTCTTATAAGGTGGTTCAAGGATTGGTATGTGGTGTAATAGATTATTAAAAACATATTTGCAAAGGCCTTGGCCCTATTTCTACAGGTACTGGCCACTATGCAAAACTTCACTGACATTATAAGAACAACCCAGGAAGAAAAGCTATTCCTAGGCATGAAAAAAATTGTTTCTATAAATAAGAATCAACATCACTTAGAATTTGTAAAGCAAAATAAAAAAATAAAAAGGCGGAGTCCAAAATTTGTAAACATATCAACAATCAATAGATCAGACATACACTTGTAATAAGACTTAGTTTTTGAGTTGAATTTGTGTTCTCTTTTGGAGAGAGCACATCATTTTAGGGAACAAGAAAAACTCCAACTTTGTATTATAGAATTAGAAAGGATATGCAAGAAATCAGCATGAAAATTATAGCTCATAAGTATCCAGTTCTATTAGAAAGTCATGGTATAATCATAGAATCATAGAATCATTAAGGTTGGAGAAGACCTTCAAGATCATCTAGTCTGTTAACAACTTCATCTTAAGAGCCATAATTCAATAGGAGCGTGTATGCAATTCTGTGTCACCAGCCATATCCCCTTAGTTATTACCTTAATCTTCCCTTGGATACATGTACTACAGTACCATATTTGCATGCATCATACACTTCTGCCACCTGCTCTGGCAGATTTTTACTACTCTTAGATGAGTCTATATTGCTAATTATTAATCTAATTTGGACTATCTTAATCCACTGTCTAATTTTGCTGAATGAAGTTTTTGGACAGGTCTCCTGGATTTCATGGGGGCTTTATATAGGCTCAAGAGATCACCAGTGTATGCCACCTCTGTTGGATGGCAGCAAACTAATTTTTTCTGAGTCTTTAGAAAGGTACTAAATGCTGTTTTCTGCACTTTTCTGATATACTTAATGACTCAAAGGAACACATCCACAGAACTTCACCCCATCATATATTGCACAAAGTGCAACGTTGACATGTAGAAATAATATTTATGCCTTAATTTAGGGGTCAGATTTGTCTCTTTTAGCTTCTCTCTTTTTAGTGGGAGACAAATGGCAAACAGCAGCCCACAAATATACCATAAATGAAACAAGTGTTTGGACCTATGATACAGTTTATTACTTCTTTTAACTGAAATCACAGAATCAAATGTTTTAAGATTACAACTGGTAAATTATACATATGTAATAGTTTACAAAACAAAATATTGGCCTTCAATGTGTCATAGTACAGTGTAGACCTTGTACAATTCAGTTCAAATGAATTAATGTTTCGCATAACGTTATTTATGGTGTAAACTGGCTGACATAGTAGTGCTCTAAAACTGTTAATTCTCTTTGATTAGACATATAGAAAAAAAAAAAGAGTCTCGTGACACATCTTGGTTTTCATAAGGTACTGGTATTTCAGTCAAGTTGTCTGTAATGCACAAAGTGACACCAATGGAGTGTACAAAGAAGCACATGAAATAAATTAAGAAGAAATGAAAGCTGCGCTATCCTGTTCATCTTCCCTAGAACACCTCTCTTGTTTTATCTTATCTGATGTTACACAATGACCTGACAATAGAAGTGAAATTTAATTATTGCTACACAGGGAAACACATTGTCACCATCTTATTTGGAGTACATTATTTCCCTAATCTCATGAGATTTTATGAATGCACATGCACTTGACTGTCAAGGAGTATGTTTTATATGATAAAACCATCTGAAAATTTCACAGTTCATACAGTAAATTGTGTAAACCAGTTCCTATACATTAAAAAGAGAAATTATGCTGTTACTTAAAGTGGTTTGAGTTTAAAGCAGCTCCTGCAAAGGCAAGCGATGTAATGAAGTTACTCTGAATTTACATAGGCATAGCTGAAACCAGTGTAACTATTCTGCCCCATGAATGGGATTAACGCAAACCCAAATACTCATTTGTGTGCATACAAATGTGGATACAGTTATACATACACATGTATACACAAACACAAACAACAACAAAAAAATACACATTTCCATGTAGTCACGGTTAAGTTCTATGTGTACACCTATATGTTTCAACACAGACTATGTAAGATTCTAGCTGATACACATGGAAATACTTGAAATATCCTTATGGCTACTGTGAGACTCTGCAGACAAATCTCAGGGCAAACAACACTGAGAGTTTTGGTTTCAGTCTGTAACTCTGCAGTGTGCAGAGTAGCTAGACACTGTTAAATATTTGGTACAGGGTATCTGGAGAGAAGTTCTCCAGCCACTCACCTGCATTAACAATGTGTTTGGGGCTTTTCAAGTGTTGTATGCCATATCACTGAATACTGCCACTTGTAATACAATCTTGTAAACCCCAGAGCTACATAATGTGGTGCCAGTTGAGGACCTGAAAATTTGTCTCAGCTTAAGTCATTAACAGTATGTGCAATAAACCAGAAATATTTGCATTGGCAATTATATTTCAAACAAAAATGTTGAATTAGCTTTACTATACAAATTAGCATTCCGTGTACCCACAGTAAAAAAAAGACTATTGAAAATGTTACCAGTGACAAGTATAGGTGCAACTCTATAAAAATGATTCAGTTAACTAAAAAAAAGAACAAAGGCCTCAAAATCAGTAACTGCGTTTTTTTTTTGTTTTGTTTTGTTTTGTTATTTTTTAAATTGTAGCCTGAGCTTGAAGAATCTAACTTTGCTTCATGCCATGGGCTCTGTCTTTCTCAGTGAGACAGAACAGCACAGCTTTCGTGAACACAAGGAGAAACAGTCACATACCTAAACATTTTGCTGAAAGCACACAATTATCAATGTTTCAACTGTACAAGGCTTCTTTAAAGCCCACCCCAAAGATCATCAAAGTGAAGGCTTATTGTTATTTCCTGGTGTTTTGGAGTGGGCTTTAATGGAGGAAGCGTCACCCACTGGCCTTTGTAACTTCATCTGAAGCCTCATGGTTGGCTCTGGGTGTTCCGTAGGGCCTGGACAGTGGCAAACATTGGGTACAAAGGATGAGATAGAATGTAACTTGTGTGACTGTGACTATGGGCACTGATGAGGAAGATATTTTTTTATAGTTTGAAATAGATTTTTTGCCATCTGTCATGCTACCCTTACAGTGAAGTTGTTCGAAAAATAATTTGTATTGTTAATTGATAGTATGGGTTTATCTATACTATACTTTTTTTTTTTTTTTTTTTTTTTTTACCTCACAGCCCAGTACAGTTTCCCTGGAGCTTAGCAGAATTTGGACTAGACAAAAACTGGAAGTAATGAGATACTGTTATTTTCATGGAAATACTGGGAATGCATGCTTGGCTGGCTTTTTATTTGTGTCTCACTGCCTGACATGGTGCAAAGAACTAGAGTAAAGCAAAGAAAAACATTGCAAAGCCTTACAGATTGTGCTTTTGACATTTCATAGCTGTAATAAATAGATATATAAGTATATAAATGGTGAAAAAATTGAAAAGGTAGCTTTTATAATGGTTCACTTTTCATAAACCAAATCGTACATCATTTAATCTGTAATTGCAGAGGCACACGAAACAATTTCTCTGTAGTGATTTCACTTAAATATAAGAAGCTGCATGAAAGAATACTCACTTGCCACCCTGACAACTCAGAGAAACTTCATTTACAAAGAGAGGATTCCCATTTACTGCAAGCCTGAGCTTGCTCCCATTGGTGCAAATGGTAAGGCTCTTACCAACCTAAGTGGTAAACTACTAAGGAGCAGAACAGAAATTGCACATGTCTTTATGGAGTGAGTCTGTTGTTTAGAACCTGGGTGGTTTTTTTTTTTTTTTTTTTTTTTTTTTTGTGTCCACAGACCTCTATGACTGAGATATTTTAGAACTGAAGTGTAGTGAGGAGGTTTGAGCATCAGGTGTCATGAACTTCTCTAAGAAAGATGGCAGCAGAAAAGGAATATACATCTATACAGTGTGCACACATGTATACACCTATACTCCTGTTCCATGCAGAAAGCTTTCTAAATAAAAACAAACAAAAAATAACCAGTGCCATACATTATGTAAACTCAACACAAATTTGAAGCATAAATTAAGAGAGCAAGAAAGAGAGACAGAGATGATAGCAAACATTTTAAATAAAGAATTTGCACAATTGATATTTTTGTTAAATAAGAATAAATAAATTCATTACATCCATTCACATACTAGTTGTAAAAACAAATAAATTATTTTATTTTTTTTTCAGTGCTGTGCTTTTTTTTTTTTTTTTTTTTTTTTTAATACAATTGTTATTAATCCACAAGATTATTCCCTCTCCCCTTGTGATAAAACTGTTTTCACAGGAGGGCAGATAAACTGAACTTCATGCATACAATCAAACTGCAGATGAAAGGCTTTTTTCTAATTACACTGTCTCATTTGAAAAGCAGATAAAAAGCCACAGATTCAAAAGCGGGTCCAATCTAAGGCACTGGAGTTGTGTCCCAAAAAGTCTACAGTGAATTTAACACTGAAGCTTGCTTATTTCTATATTCTGGACTTCTGAGACAGTGCCATTAACATTGCAAGCATTTGATGAATCTTGTTTGGCAAGACTCAGTAGTAATGTAAACAGTGATGACCAACGAGGAATTTAGTTTGAAGCACAAGTTGTAATGGCAAATTCACATACCTTGCACCAATTTTTCATTCATCAGTTACATGAAATAGGTATAAATGAAAAAAGCAAAGTTGGGAATTGCAGTTTGGTTATAAAGATCAGCTAAAAAGCAAATGTTGGGTATAGCAGGATGCCCTAGTTCACCTTACACTTTTAGGATAGCTTCCTTAGTCTGTTCCCTTTCCATTAGGCTGGATGGGGCTCTGAGCAACCTGATCCAGCTTTAGATGTCCCTGCTCATTGCAGGGGAGTTGGACCAGATGACGCTTAAAGGTCCCTTCCAACTCAAAAAATTCTGATTCCATGATTTTATTTAAAAGCAACGTCTTTTTGCACATTTCCTTCACTACTACACTGGTGAAAATGGAAAAAATCAGTATAGTGGTTTGCTCTTGCATTTATTTACTTTTTATAAATAGACTCTTTCTATGAAAAATTCTTGATCTAAAGAAGATTTAAATTTATACCCGTTTATGGTATTACTCTCCTGGAGTCTGAATAACATCCAAAAGCCTTACTCATTTTGTTGACTACATCATAAATTATTTCTATAATGCAAACACAAATACTTGCACATTCTGTCTCTATTCTGATACAACACAGGAAAAATAAATGCCAATTAATTCAGCAGCTGGACAGCCAATTAATTCAGGCCTGGACAAACAGCAAATCTATGCTCCTTATCTTTCCACTTATGATGTTTTCTACTTGTTATGATCTTCCTTAAGAGCCCTAGAACACCTGTTTATACATATATAAATATAAAAATCAGTTTACTTGAAAGGAAAATAAGACACTTCAAACATGATCTTATGTTATAAGGTAGAAAAGACATAAGCATTTACAGAACTCTGCAAATATTCAGAGCCTTGATTTAAGTTCTTAGGGTGGCATCAGTTGTAAAGTAGCCAACTTTCCTCAAGATCCATGTTTTTCACTTTTATTAGGAAGTCACACCATTCTCGAAAGCTGAAGATGACTAATAACATTCCTTTGCAGTTCACTTTCAAAGAGGAGACCCTGTCCCTTTTAGTGTTTACTTAGAATAGAGTACAAAAACAGATATTTCTCCAGGTTTCAACTTGTTGATGTAGCAACTTTGTGCTGTTTTAAAATCATCACATGCTTTCTAGAATTCAAACAAACATGCCAGAGTTGCAAAAACATGTTTATGTCAGCCTGGAGTGAGACCTGCCCTTCTTGCAACACAAACAACAAGATTTCTTTTCTGATTTCATGACTGGAATTTTCTGAAGAGCCTGAAGCCTGGGGAAGTATAGTGCTAAGTACTACTGACTCACAGCTGTATCTGAAAATCTTCCTGCACTCATACTCTCCTGTGTTGACAAACTGAGAAATAAAAGACGGATGGAGTTCTACCACCTTGTACCTGTCATTCTAGGGTTTAATTCAAAGCCTGCTGATATGAAAGGAAGCAATTCTAACAAGTGTTGGTGTCAGGACTCCCCACCTGTTACCTGAATATGGTGAAATGTCCTTTCTCAGTCACTAACTTCCACCAGATAGTAATGGGATTCAGAAGCTGCTCTTGAGGGAAATTATTACTAGCTTCTGCCTGTACTGTGGAAACAGTTTTATTGATGTTGGGCAAGTCCTCCACATCCTGATGTGGTTTGACTTCCTACTGATACCTCTTCCTCCCAAATGTGGTAGATGTACAAAACATGAAAATCAAACAAACAAAAAATCAAACAAAAAGACAGTTACAAACTTTTGCTGGTAAGATGAATACCAGAGTTAGACATGATGGACAAAACAGTGATAAAATATTAACTGCTTGCTGTGTTTTTTTGACCTTTATAGCCTCTTCAAAAGATGTAGGTACATTACACATTGTTAGATTCAAGGTGGAAGCCATACAGAAAACAACAGAGAAAGCAGTTGAACATAGCCTCAGAATATCTGAGTTAGAAGACACTTGTTTATCATACCTGTAATTTTTGGTTCTCTAACTAGTTTCTACAAAATACAGTATGCCTTTGTTTGTTGGAAAGAAGGAGCTAGCAGCTATTGTTCAGCAACAACAGGGATCCCACGCTGTGACAAAGCTGGAACTAGTGGAGAGTTTACCAAGAAAAAGGTACACAGATTCTTTCAGGCAGACAAATATTACCCCTATGTGTGTTTGACATACTCGTGGTAAGGAGCTGCTGATGGTACTGGTATATGAGCAGTGTACCTGTGGGGATCCTTGGTCTGCACTCTTGCAATGCTCCTCTGAGAATTTCTTGGTGGAAACACAGAATTTGTCATAGAATTATGATCTGCTATCAGGAAATCCCTAGAACAAACATGCATTTCCCTTTGTCAAAATCAAATTACTTATTAAAACCAGCAGCAAGCTCTTCATTTTCCAGTAAAACATCTGCAGCCAGTTCTGAAGGCTGGACCAAGGTCCACAAGGGCTGCAGATATACTTTGGTCAATCACTTTGCTTACATAGCTTGTCTTTTGATTTTTTTTAGTAGAACCAAGTGATATAAAGTGACATACCAAATCAAATGTATTTACAAAATAGTATAAAATAAGCTTCTGTGGTATCATGGGTACATGTGACATTTTCTAAGGACATACTGTATTAGAGGTAGGTGTAAAAGGGGAGATGATTCTGTAACCTTCAAATATCCCAGGATCCTCCATTTGCTAGTTTTTCTTCTTTTTCATTACTTTATTTTATATTTTTGCAGACACAGAGGGCTTATAGCAACTTTAATGCTTTTTTTTTTCTTTTTTTTTTTTTAAAACAGATCAAGATCACCCTACTATTTTTCAAAGCAGTGCACATCTTCATTTGGTCCAAATAGGCAGATTCTGCCCATAATTTGAGACTTTATGTAAATACACTGAAGCCTTTGCTTCTCTCTGTCTGGGCAGACCTAATACCTAATAGTACGTCAATAATGGCTTCATCAAACCTCTTTTAAAGAAGATCACAACCACAGGTTAACACTTTTTCAACAAGCACTGTTTAAATGCTGACGGTCTCTGAGAGAGAAGACATCCTTTAGCTAGTTTTCCATGGCCGTCTTTGCACTGGACAGTTCTGGTGTGCCATCCTGTGTCACACGTTCGAGAACAAGAAAGCCAAGGCCCCGTCACCCACCGGGTTTGTGTGAGCTGTGGAGTTACTTTGCTGCTGCTGCCACTGCCAGTGACAGAGTTAGTCATTTGTCCTTGCTTCTTTGGCACAAAGAAACTGTAACGGACGTCCACTGGTTGAGTTGGGTCAGTTGCAAGTATCTGCACTATAAGAACCTCCTTTGTGGCAGAGTGTCCCATTGCATGCAAGAAATCATCTTTGTGACTCCAGCCACTATAGTTCATGACAGTTCCATTGATATCGATGATTGTTTCCGAAGTGGAGATCATATATTTTCCATTGACAAGATACTCACCGTTTTTCTTTTTCAGGGCCAGGTAGGCAGTAAACCTGCTCTGGTCCTTAGTCTTGAATTGACGAACTTTGATGTGAGTTGCTCCTTCTGGGATTTTCACTATATCTGTGTAGCCCTTACTGCAGAGGGGAAAAAAAAGTAGTCAGTAGTTGCTGTGAAATAAACCTCAAGTCTTACTGCTAAGCCTCATGAAGTCACCGGTAAGACACAACTTGCTTCATTTTTGTTCAGGCCCTGAATCCATCTGCTTTGAGGCACATTTGAGATTAATTTAATCAGGTTCCATTTTTTGTCTTTTGTAACGCTGTGTTCTTCAAGAAATTTCTACTGCACTTAATTCAAATTGCTTAATCTTCAGCTTCAGGAATGATTTCACATGAGTCAGATACAACAGGAATGAAAAATAACAGATAGTTTATATACTTCAGCAAAGGGTGGGAGATCTGAAATACGATTCACATTTTCCGTGCCAAGGAAAGATAATGAGATATGCATTGGTTACAGCTGTTTCTTGCTGTCTTTGCCATAATGATTAAGGAAAGCACGAGCAGAGTAACAGCTGGATAGAGGTACCTTGGGAACATTTAAAAATAATCTTGATCACTGAGAAAAAAATTGTTTACTTTGAAATTCATAAAGCTGAAGATGAATTGTCCAGTGTCTAATAGAAGGTGCACTCAAACGCTTAATTTGCAGCATAAAGTTCTCTTAGTAGGTACTTATGAAATGCTTTAATGCAAACTTAGGAAGAGATATTTCACTTTTCTACTGAAAGTGACAAGCACTCAAAACCTGAAAGTGTACCAGAGCTTTTACTATCTCAAGTGTGTAATTTGTTTTAACCATAGTGATACACAGTGAAGAAGGCTGAAGACTGTACATAGCTATAGGCTACAAACTGGATTTTGGAAACATTTATTTTCATTTCTAAACCTGTGACAAAGCCATTCTGCAATTCTTGTATCTTAAGTGCCTAGTGCTGAAACGGATAGAGGAAAGGAAATAAGAAAATAGACATACAATGCAGGAAAGTGACAGTCTCCTGGAATTGTTTAAAGAATGGCCTACCACTTTCACAAATCTGGGTTGCCCAAGTAAAGACTGCAGAGACTAAAGATTAAATGCTTGTTCTATTCCCATGCTATTTCAAGCAGTTATGGGACATCTACTAAAAGTCCTTTAATTTATCACCGTTATAAACCTGAAGGAATATTGTGCAAATAACAAGCTGGGTGTCTCTGCTCCACAGCACTGCAGAAATACTTTTACTTAAAAGTTGCCAAAATAACTCTGTTAAAACACGTTATTAAAGTTACAAAATCATCTGTTAAAAAAAAAAAAAAAAAGAAATGCTAGAGAATGCAACATTCTTAGCAACATTCCATGCGCAAAAAGAAGCATGTGCAGCCTTAATTCCCTGATTTCCCAACTTCTGACTATTTAACTTTATGGCCCTTTAAAAAAGTTCTTAGGAAAGAGCTTTCCAGGAGGTTGGTTTTTTGATCATTTTAAGAGAAAAATGTCAATTAAGAATTTACTATTTTAATGCAGGGTTTCTTTTAAAAATCTTGCATAAAGAAATTATATCAAACAATTTTCCCATAAAAAATAAATGAAAATCAAAATCAAGTTAGAACACACATGTTGCTTACAGCTTGATTATTACTAAGTGAGACAACTGTTTGAATGCAGCAAAGTCAAATTAGTATTTTACTCTCCAACTGGTCTCATTTCAGTTAAAGCCATGATTTGAGGAGTAAGATGGTACCTTCATAGGAATAATTACAGTGGAATCTCACTGTTTCCAACTATATCTACACTACAAATCTGGCCTCACTAAAATTCATGAGGTCTCTCTAGCATTTTTGCTGGAACCAAGACTGAAACATAAGGGTTACAACTGAAGCACATTAAGTGTATGTCACACAGTCTTCTTTGTTCAGGTATTTCAGAATTTTCATTCAGTATTTAATGCTCAATATTCATTCAATATTTACAAATCAGAAAAGATTTGGTTTATATAAGTACCAAATTGGATAGAAAGTCATTCTTTTTGGAAGAGGTATTTGGGCGTCCTTAGGTGAGTAATCATTAGTTTACCAGGAAGAAGATTGGTTATGGTTATTCTTATAACAAACTCACTTTTGAGGAAATTTTTGACTACTATTACTCAGTGTGTCAAAACGTATATAAATGAAAGGTCCTTTCAGGAGTCAAATTTCAAATTCTAATGGTGTTTCATGCACATGCAAGAATTTGTAAGACATGAATTCTATGTACATTTTAAAAGATGTTGTGTGCTGTGTATAAATGTTCAACTGCAAGTTTCTTAGAATAGGTCACTATAGCAGTCCAGTGAGACCTTGCAATCTATATAAACAGTGGTTAAAACATCCTAATTCTTACACAAACCTTAAAGGAAACAAGAATACAGACAGTGGCAGACTTGCTTGACATTGGTAATCTTGGTTACAAAGCTTGCTTCTGCTTTGTAGAGTCAGGAAAAACCATGGGGGAGTTGCTTTTGTTTTACTTATATTAAGTTGTATCATACTTAAAAGCTGAACTCTGACAGAAAAATGGCTTATGGATGACTGCTATAAATATTTTAACTTAAAAAAAATATTTGTCCACCTGGAGATCAATATTATCCCAGTGAACAGTAAGGGATATATAAAATGTCACATATAAACCTGTGTGTACTTCTGACATCTTGCCTAGTCACCTAAGCTCCTTGTATACTCAGCAGTGTGAAAAGACATTTTAGGGAATAATCACTTTCAGCTACTGAGGATTACTTTTACAGCTGTGCTGTAATGCTGCCTGCCTTCTCTTCACTAACTATGCAAGGAATCTATGTTACTTAATGATGATATCTACTAGATGATATTAAACACATTCCCAGTGTGCCTTGCCAACACAGCATCACCTGGGAAACCTTGAGTTTTGGACATATCTAGATATACCTCTGACACCAATAGCTTTCTGATTAATCAATGTCTTCCCTTCTCTCTATCCTCTAAAAACCATATGCCATCTGGCCCAGCAAGCTGGCAAACAGCAGACTGTGTGCTTCACTCTGGGCAGACTTCCTATGACTGGTTGCTCACCTGTATCACTAGTATTTTATGTCAGAAATGAACTGGGTGCAGTGTTTTGCCAGGTGATTATTTGCCAGTTTCAGGATATTGTTAAGAGACCAGCTGTAAACATCTGAACAGTGCAATAAAGCACTGGCAATGTACACTTTTGCTTAACCTTCATATGAAAGTAAATTGCATTTAGAGGAGGGAAGAATGAAGCACACAAGTAGAGCTGCTATTCGCACAACAAGATATATTTACTAATACTCAAGATTAATACCTCTTTTTGGTGAAGGTTCCCATGACTTTTGTGCAGCTTGAATTGTCTCCTCCACATACCCCGCATTTATCATACTGGAGCTTTGAACCAATGATGCCATCACAGCCAGTTCGGATGCATTTTCCCCGGACACAGACTGAATTACTGTATGGCCGACACTCAGTACCATCAGTTACCTAGGTAATCAAATGCCTGTTAGTTAAAATTGCCACAGGAAAAAAAAAAAAAAAAGTGCTTTTGTGTATCTGACTGGCAAAAAACCTTATTTTTGTCACCCATACAGAACAGATTTACTATCCTGACAACCCAGACTGAGTTTCTCTAACATTCCCAGTGCCACAGCAGATGAAATTTAGCAAAGGTCTGAAAGCAGTGTGAAGTAAAGCACTAAAATGACCCAGACTTTAATGACAAAGTCATATCTTGCTAATAGTAAGAGTACTTGTTGATCACCTTTCACTTGAGAATTTCAGTTCATTTAATTAATGCATATATACCAGTTAAGAGGCAGAAAACTGCGAGCGTAGGCATGGGAGATATTTCAGTTCAAATTGTATCTGAAATGACAAACTGATCACAAGTCACACCTGTACTAATTGGCAAATTAGTTTTTATTAATTGGTTTTGTAAGAGTTTTACTCCAGACATTCTTAACATCATTCAGGACAAAATTTATACTTCAGTTGAGGCACTCTCTCTCATCCAGAAGACCCCAGACTCACAAATGAGTCTTCAGGTGAAAGTCCTATAGCCATGACTGAAAAGAAACTACTGCAGAGTGCCCTTGCAGGCCTCTATTTTTCTGTACTTCTCATATACTGAAGTGTGGAAAAACTTGTCTAATTTTAGATGTCAGTTCTGGTCCTAATGTATAACCACTGGATGTAACCATTACATCTAAAAATCACACAGCTAAATTTTTAAATCATATGATTAATGCATTCTCCCTTGTTGTAGGGAACTGTTTTTTAAGATAGAGGACACTAAACTAGAACGTGAAATCATGATTGGAGAAGTCATTACCTTTTGGGAAAATACCACATAATAGCCCGTTCCTTTGGCTCGGCAGGTGAGCTTGCAAACATCTCCGGGAAGCACTCCAGCATACTTGGGGACCCATTCAACAAAAGTTTTGACACCCTTTGCATCAGACTGATAACCATTCCTTGCTTCACACTGCTCTTGTCGAAAAGATTTAGCTGTAGAATGATTCACATTATTAGTGACTATTTCAGACCATGCTGCAAATATCATTATGCACCCCTATTATTCCAATTTCTTTTTAACATAATTTTTTAAGTTATGGTACTTCACCTCTTTACTTAGAACAGGCCTTCAAATCCTTCAATTTTTTAGAGATTGGAAACCTTCCTATTACACAATAAGCTATGAAGGACTGAAGTTAGCATTATGATTTATCTTCTAGGACTGAAATTGCTTTACATTTGATGCTCTTTATTTATGAGGTCAGAGTGGGGATAAGGGAAGAACTGTCATACTGTATTAATGATGAAAGTCTTCCTTGGTAAGCACGCTTTAGAGAAACTACAACAGATCTTGGATGTTTCCTTTCGCAGTAGATGTTCAACACTTACTATCTAAGGACACAGAGGCTGGAGCAGCTAACATACCGTTTGCTGGGCAAGGTGTGACATTACAAGATCGATAGATGGCTCTCTTGCCAGTGCAGTACCGGCCGTTGTTTCTAGGAGCTGGGTTATTGCAGTGACGATAAGCAAACTGAACACCTCCTCCACACGTACGGGAGCACTGTCCCCAGGGTCCCCATGACCCCCAGTTACCATGGCTTGATGCCTGAAACATACAAAAAGTGGGAAGTAAGGACATCACCATCCAAGTGTGAATAGGTGCTAAATCTCAAAGACATTGCTAATGTTTTCCCACAACTGAAGGTGTTCCCTTGGTCATTTTATCAGGGATAAAAAGGTGTTGGAGCCTTCTTTCTACCAGTTAAATTAATTTATTTTATCTGCAGAATTTTGGCATCTGATTTGGCACTGATTTGCTACCAACGGGCTCCATAAACCATCTCCAGAGGATTTGGCTCTGGAACATATCCATAAGACTATCTATGAATAATAAATGCAATCATTATTCTAAGTAGGTATTGCCCTGTATTATGAGATTTAATTAATGTAAGCAAACATTCTTAAGGATTGAATGCTGATTTCTAAAGAATGAGAGAAAACGATCATACATAGATGAGTTTTGTTTCCAATTACCTACTTCATACATATACTACAAATATGACAAAATATTAATAGTTTCACCATATACCCAAATTACATTAACAGTATTCTAAGTCTAAAATTAGGCAATTGCTTCTGCTTTTCACTTTGTAAATAAATCAGGCTGCATTTCAGAGTGTTTTAAAGGCAGGAAATGAACACATAAATAAAAAATTTGGGCAGTGAAAGTGAAGAAGCAGCTCCTTCTGAACCAGCAGCTCAACATTTCAAGAGTACTGGCAAGAGACTGAGCTTTCAGATATACATTACAACTCTGCCAATTTGACTCTATATCATATTCCAACAATTAACAGATACCGCACAAAGAAATATACCAGTCTATAAAAAAGAGTTATAAAGGCTGCTGCTTGATTTGAATGACTCTTGCATTTTGTAAATATCCTCACAAAGCTCTACAGTTCTGTATCTCTCCTGTAGGTATAACAGAAGGAGCAGTGCTATTGTTTTCCCAGTTAATCTCAAAGTATCTGAACTGCACAACTGACAATTCTAACCCAGTGGACTCTCATGAGCCTCTTCAGGGGTATTAAACTGACAGACGGAACTCCTTCACTGTAGGTACAAGCTTGGCTGCTCTAGAAATTATATCCTGGATGAACTTCATCATTTTTTCTCTTCACTAGAGTTAGCTCTCTGAAGACTTTCAGATGAGGGCCATAAACTAAGTTTTCAATCTAATTTGCCTCAGAGTCCATTGCCAAGAAATCAGGAAGCTGTAAATCATTCCTTGCCAATCTTTCCAGGCATCCTGAGACCTGCCATTTTCTATGGGTGCCCTCTAGTCTGAAGTGATGCTCTCAGTTTTCCAAGACTGTCGGCTTCCAACCTTCAAGAAGAAAACATGCTTCCTGAAACTCAGTAGCATTTTTCCTGTATCCTACACCAGTAACACTCCAATTACATGCTAAAAAATACGGCAGCTTTCAATCTGACTTTCATAATGAAGTGCCTTTCATTCGTACTTTGAGGATTACGCCTTCTAAAGTTCCCTAGAGTCACAGTTGGTAACTTACCGAGTAGTATTTCTTCTTGGTTTTGTCAACACATTTTCCCTGGAGACAGATCCTCCCTTTTCCACATGGTGTTCCTTCCACAGCAGGCAGCTTCTTAGTCAGACAAACCATTTGACCTTGACGAACAACTGCACACCACAAGCGAGAGCACACATCCATCCCGGGACACACTGTATATTCAGGTCCAAATGCCAATTTGCACTGACGAATGGCATCATAGGTTTGTCCCGGAAGCTCCTCGGGGCCCAGGATCTGCTTTCTTGGTTGGTCCAGCAAACAGTTACCTAAAAGAACAATCCAACCTATTATTACTCATTACTTACTTTTTCTGCAGTGTTGTATCTGTCATTCAAATTAGGAAGACCGATAATGACAGTGGACCTCATTTGAAGGACACTAATGTTATTGGAAATGCTCTCTGAGATGTCATTAAGCTTTGTATGAGCTCATCGTACTGCAACTGTGGTCTCTCCCTGCAGCATACCATGTGTCAAGCTATTTCCAGTTCAAGAAAATAAGTGTAAATAAGTTTTATTCAGGTCCCTTTGATCTTCCATTCTATTTTCCTTCATTTGGTTTGACTCAGAACACATTCCACTCCATCAATTTGTGTTTTACAAAATGATCAAGAGGAGTCCTGGTAAAGTAAGCAAAGCGCTCATTTGAATTTTGAGCCAGAACATCACAAATGGTAATGCTTCTAAAGCAAAGTCTGAAATTCAAATTACAAAACGCAGACCACGAGGCACTTAAAAACAAATAAATAAATGCCTTCCCCTCCAAAACCACACACACAGAAGCAAACAGATCAAAGGAAAAATATAAAACGAATATCAAATCTAATGTTGGCGGTAAATCTAGACTGGGCTTCTCTTGTAAAGAATGATACTTGGCTGCTTCTGGAATTAGTTTGTAGAGGGCTATAAATTTTATACAGAAAATGCACAATAAAACCACCCCAGAAAGACAAGAAGAAAAACAGAATAAATATAAATTACAGAATTGAATACGTGTAAATAGAATAGATGAAATAGAAAATTAATGGTACCCTCGCATTCAAATTCTTTTACAGTGTAGAATATTCAAGACATGGTGAAGAGTGAGGAAGCACAGATGTATTTTTTCTTTTCCTGAAGTTTCTGAAAACTAAACCACTGGCAGTAGTTGCTGTCAAAAATATATTATGTAAAAGCAAAGAACAGCAATTAACTACATTACAGCATACAGAGCACATATGTACTACTATTCCCACTTTTTGTCCTGAGTACCAAAAAACATCTGGGTGCCCTGGCCGAATACAACATTCTTGACTGATGACAAAGTTAATCAAGCCATCTCGTTCTCATTGTATCTCCTCAGTGTTATGTGCAATACAGCCTTGGAAAGCAGAATAAAATCTGTGCAGGAAGTAGATAACCAGATATAAATTAATTAAAATAGAAATAGTCTTTTTTTCAGGTTACAAAGAACACCAAATAGTCAGACTAAACACAATAAAATGTAGGCAATCATACCACGGTCTAGTGGTTGGCATGACAATAAAGGCAATTAGTATCTTACAAAGGGTCGGCTAAAAGCAGATGGCAATAAATGTCACTGTCTTCTGGACACTAATTGAGTATTTTCTTCCTAAATGTGAAATTGCTGTCTGGGGTCATCTTATAAGTGTAAAATAAATGGTGATATGATGACATTGATGATTACAGTTCTCAGAGTGGGCCTCAGGAGACTGGGAAACAGCACCTTGATCATTCCCAGACCTCCTGCTTGACCTTGGATGAGGTATTTCTACTGAAATTTATTTAGCTGACCATAACTAGATGTAATGCTGGTGTCTGCAATTCAGTCAGCAGTCAGATGTTTCACTGCTTAGTACAAACACATGAGCTTGTGGTGTAATTCAATCCCACTAATACAACTGATGGCATCAATCCAATCACCGATACCATTAATTAGACCCCTCCACGCTGTGATAGGAATTAAGCACCCACTTTAAGCACAGTTACCTACATAGTAAAATATATAGTTATCTACTAGTGCACTTTTTATGTGATGAGTCCACATCCCAACATCACTTTCCAAATGTATTATATAGGAATCTCCAGCACCCAACAATAGGCTGCTACAAAATTAAAGTTAAGATTATGGAGCCTTTCAAGGCCATGTTGGATTAGACATGGAACAACTTGATCCAGTGGGTAGCAACCCTGCCTGCAGTAGGGGAGTTGGAAATAGATGATTTTAAAGGTGTCTTCCAATCTAAGCCATTCTGTGACCCTATGATTCTTGCTGTTGAAGCAATACAGGTGAATATCTGTATCTATATGGGAAACGTAAAGGTTTGAAGAAATACTGTTTTATAACAGAATAGTGCTCAGAGATCCAGGTTTCTGGACATTCACATTTCATTATGCTTAGCCATAAGGAGCAGCATATGAAGTACTTCATTTATCTGCTTCCTCACACCAATACTGCCGTGCCTGGTTTGTCACAAAGCACAGTTCATAAGCTCATGCCCATTCACTCCAAAAGCACTGTGCAGACTGCTTATGTTTTGTATGAAAGATAAAGCTTCCTGTGACTACACAAAATCCAGTCAAAATATCTTAAAAGAAAGCCTGGTATAAGAAGGTCTGTATACTCTCATTCTTCTGCTGTATCTGCTATTTTGTGCCTTATTTGCCTACATTATGTCTGTGGCACCGCTCAGAATTACACCTGAATGGTTAAACTTATTTTTCTCTGCTAGCAACACTTGAAAGATACAGGACTTTCCTCTTTCAATGGGAACATGGCAGGAGAGCATCTTCTCAAAATGAAAAAGAGAGGGAAAGTAGCGTAACTACATGGCAATATATCATCCACAGCTAAGGAAAAAAAAAAAAAAAGATCAACTCAAAAAGCAGACACATGCTCATTCTGAAAGAAACATGGAAATATGGCACATTTGCACTGTCTTATTATCAGTCCAAAGCAGTCTGAAAAGCGTCGTCATGCTCTACCAGGTTTCTCTGGGCTTTGGTACACTTGGTGTACATTACAAATGGGAATTACAGCTATGGATTCATTCCCTGGCTAGAAAATAAAACCAGAAGGAGTTCCATTCCTAAAATAAAACACGTACTTTCAGCTGAATAATTTGAACAAATGCAGTTTAAATCACTGGCCTTAGTCCTTATTTCATAGACAGTGTTTGTGTTCTGTCAGGGCAAATCTCTGACTTAAAATTAACACCTAAAAATTGATAAACTTCAACAGAAAAGGAACACTGTAATTTAGACAAGGTCTATGAGGACCTAATCTATCAAGAGAACATATTTCCTAAGCTCTATACTTTTGAAAGCATACCAATAACATCAGTAATAAAACTAATGCGCAGATAAGACCAGAGGCTCACATTTTCCACGAATTATTTCATCTCATTAATAATTCTTTGGGACTACATGCCTGAGTGGTAACTACTCATGAGTATCAGAAATGGCAATATACCCTAAACCAAACTAAGCAGACAGATCCTAAGCAGCTCTTGTGCAGGAAAGAATACATAAAGTATCAGAAATGGAGAACTGCTAAACTTCTCATACAGGAAGTCAACACAGGCTGAACAAGGAGACCACAATGCAGCTCTGAAGGATTTGAAGCTCCTACCCTCTTCTACTGAAAAAAAATGACAGAATGACATTCTTACACTTGTAGGATAGACTGTACTCTCTACAGGGTCAGTGAATACATACTGTGAAACTCCCAGGTGAGACAAAAGGGAGTGAATGCAACTAAACTCAAAAAGGAAAGGTCTCTTCACATTTAGAAACTCACTTATTATATTAAGTCAGTGCCAGAGCATTATGGGCATTAAAATAGGACAGTATAGATTAATGAATCTAATAAAATTGAGAGAAAAAAAAATGAAGTCATTCTCCAGATAGGAAAAAATAGGAGAAAATATTTCAGAGAGCATTGAAATTAGCCAACAAAATACTTAAAAGCAAAAAACTTTACATTCAGCAGACATGTCATACTTTTTATCCATACGTATTTCAGTTACCATAACAACTTGATCCATTCACTCAATTATGTCATTTTTATCTCAGCATTTTGGAATTTGAATGGCTTAAGAACTGCAGTTGCTTTGGAAGCACAACGAAAACTTTAAAATTCATTTAAGAGTTCAGACTATGCTTTATATTACTACTTGTTGGAAAAAATGAAAGTTTTGTACTTATTCTCCAAAGGTCAAATTATATTTTAACAAATATTAATTACATGACTTGGAGGGTAAGCTCCTGGAGCAAAAGCAGTCTTTTGTCATAGACAGCACAGAGGGGTCAGAATACTTGCTTACTGCTCCTCTACATAAACAAAATGAATAAAATCGCTTTATAAACAAAATAAATGCTCTTAATGGTAAGAGCACATATGCCCTGCTCATATCTGCAGCATAATGCTAAGTAGACCATATCAAACATTCTAATTTCTGTGAGGAAAAGAAGTTTCCTTTTATCCTCTATTAAAAGCATTCTCTGTAGCATTTGGGAAGACAAGACTAATTTTGTACTTAAAAAAAATTGAAACTCTCTGTGTCTCAAACCAAGTTATTACCAACATGCACTACATCAACTCATTATTTTCTTTTGCATATGAACCACACAATATGGGCATGAGACTCTGCCTGACTTTTAGATCTTCGCCTTGTTCTGCAAGCACTTTCAAGATAGTCTCAAGACAAGCAAGGAAGGAAAAAGCTTATGTAAAATATTTAAAAAAACATATCACAGAAGAAAATGACACGTAATCAATGCAAGATGTGATAATACATACCATGACCATCATCAAAAAATTCTGTTATAGTTGCTGATGTGCATTTGGACCAAGGCTTGGAAGCATCAATGCTAGTCAGGATGGAGGACATGAGGCGTTTATCTTCCATGGAGCCAAAGTTCTCCTCACAAAATTTGGAGTCGTCATGGGAAAGCCCAAGCAAGTGCCCTATTGAAACCAAATGTATACATTAAATGAAACAATGACTCATAATAGAGTTTAATAGCTGGAACCCACAATCAAAGTAAAATGAAATGCATTATTTGCCCTCAAATTTCCAACAGCAGCCACTTGAAATGTGGTATCTATGCTCGAGGATAAAAGAGTTTACATCACTGCATACAGCAAGCACGTAGTGCCATCAGCTGATGTGTCACCAAACTGAGCTGATTCTGAGCTGATTTATACCTGATGAAGACTAAAGTGAACTGTACTTATTTATATGCCATGAATTTAGTTCTCAATGTTTTCCAAATAATCTGCAGTAATAAAAACTAATTCTTCACATTCTGCCATTATTTAGAAAGGCTTTACAGTATCTTTGTAAATGAACACAAAAGTTCTGTTGCACTCCTTGTTGAAGTGTAAGTACCCTCTGCAGTACATCAAACAATCTGAATAATGTTTTCCAGTAGTCTGTCTAATGTACAGTGTCTTATTTTGTGGGATTTTTTTGTTAGGGTTTTTCTGTTTTTTATTTTTAAATGTATGTGGTATTGGGTATTTATACTACAGAATACAAAACAATGTGAACACAAAGGAGGACACAATGTAACTTGCAAAAATCCTGGATACTCAGGGGAGCTCACTCCACTGCTAGATTAGGCCTTATATAACAGAAATCTTTACTGCAATTCAATGATTCCTACTTTCTCTAGCTTCTGGGCAGGCAACATACTGCTTTCTCTGTAAACATCAGGCTTAACGTTAATTTCCACATCGGTTTATCTCACAACCAATTTACTGTCCAGGAGGTATAAGAATGAATGGGTACCAAAGCTGCAGTGAGCTCAAGCCTGGACTTAATTTTCACAGTCTTCAATCTCACCCTTGAGGTGGTTACTAAGATATCCAAAGTTATACCATGAGTGCTTTAATAAGGGCAAAAACCACCCATCACAGCCACTGCAGAGAAATAAATCTGATGCACTCAAGTAGCCCGTGTGGCTGAAGAGACACATTTTGTTATTCTACAATAACTAAAAGTCTTCTACAAACACTAGGTTCTATGTTTTGGTATAACTGCTATATACTAGTTGAAAGGTGACAAAAGAAGGAATACTGATGGCAGAATACCATATTCTGATATCCACAGTAACAGCCATGACAACAGTAAAAACAATAATACCTACAATACAGGCTGGAAAAAAAGCAGAAAATCAGTATAAATCTATGTGCCGTATATAAAATTTATGATACGTTGTTTTCATCTGCTTTGGAATAGAGGCCAAGAGAAAGAAAATAAAGGCAGCATCACTGTCTAGCTGTATCTGAGACTATGAAAGTAGCTATCTGACTAGAAGTATGCAATAAGTCTGGAGAAGACCAGAAATAAGGGTTTTTTGCAGTCCAGCTCCCAGTAATGCTGAGTTCCTGATCTAAGGATGGAACTCCAAGAGATGTGAAAAGAGAACCTTGATCTGTTATCTCATTTGAACCAATGATGACTAAGAGCAGCCAGTCCTACTGCTCTGAAAGTAATGCCTCCTACTTACTTCCATGGAAACGTCAACAGATACAAAGAGCAGAACAACACTATTTGATAGAGCAAATGCTCAGCTACAAAACACTATTTATCAACACAATAACCACCATTAGCTATGCATTTTTGTCAGAGATAAAGAAGAGCTTGTGTGTCATGCTTGTAAAAATCTGCACTAATGGAGGTGACCCACTATGTTAACACTGCTCTGATAGCATCGCTGGGAGGAAATGATGCCCACACAGTCCGTCTTTCATTGGCCCAAACAAATGGAAGTCAGAAGGCACCACATCTGAACTATACAGTGGGTATAATAAGATGGCACAGCTGAGATCAGCAAAGTACTCCAAGGTTTACAGACTGGTATGAGGCCTGGAGTTATCATGCTGCACAAGAAAGGTTGTCTTTTTCTCTGACCTGACTCTTGTAATTTGAGCTTTCAGCTGAGTGACACGATGTAGTGATCAAAGTTGATGGTTTGTCTGATTACCAGGAAATCCAGAAGGACCACTCTATTTCCTATATCAAAAGACAGTGCAGATTACTTTACCCACTGAGAGCTGCATCTTGAGCTTTGTCTTTGATGAGGAATTCACATGTTGTCACTCCATGGACTGCTGTTTTGACTTTGGCTCATAGTGGTGACATCTCATCTTGTCGCCAGTAATGATGTGATCCAGGAAACTGTCACCTTTAGCCCTGTATTGATTCGATATGTCCTGGCAAATTTGCATACAGTGGTCTTTCTGCTCCTGTGTGAGCATTCATGGGACCTAGTGCAAACTTAGCAATATTCCAACATTGCCACCATCTTTTCCTACACACTGAAGCTCATACTCTGCTCCATACACATTTCTGTGGTTGTAATCCACTAATTCACGCGGATGAGCTCATCGAGATGCGCTTCATTCTGGGGTGGTACAACTATGCATAGCTGGAACACGGCTTGTCTTTCATACCACTGCTGCCACTGTCGAAATGTCCCACACACTGCCTCCCCATACTCACATTCACTCTTCGGTCTCCATAAATGTTCAGGAACTGATGAGCAATGCAATTTTTTCCACATGGAGGAATTCAATTCCACATCTTTGTTTCATACGCACTTCCATGTCAGGCACCATTCTGTCAGACTGCCCCTCTGCTGTCATGTGTCACATAGCAGCAAAATGTAATGGAATGTTGGTGAGAAGGTTCAATCTCTACTGCCATACTACCAACATCCACCTCTGACATTGTGGGCCAACATAATAAAATAGGTGGCACTAGTTTTAGAACAGTCTTTTCCTTGTTGACACTTACTATTGCTGTGCTGCACTGTCACACACAAACATGTTCTTGCAAGAATGTAACAATTCAAATTTTTATACAGAAGGCAAGTCTAATTACTGATGTATTTTATGTGCACAATTTGAGCCTATTTTTTCCTTGTAGGTAAAAACACTTTCCTTTGGTGATACTCTATGAGCCAGATAATGCTGTTTTTATTCTGCACTGACATACAGTAAATTCATGTCAAGTTTCAATCTGACACAGTATTATACAAATACATGCTCTGAAGAGATGGCATCTTTTTTTTAAGCCAAATGCTGTTGCAGAGCAAAATAATTATTATTTCAGACACATGTGTTTCTCCGACAGAGTAACCAAAATAAACAGTGCATCACTTCTAACTGATTGAACAAATTATCTGAAAGTGTCACAAGCTAAACGTTTAATGAATGTTCAGCTACTGTGCCTGTGAGGACTACTACCTTTGGCTTTGCCAAAATCTAAATACAACGATGATGAGAATTTTCAGGAAATATGAAGATGATGTTGGTTTTGGCTGCCTTTATACACAATGTTATCATTATGTTTGCATTCACTGTAATGCAGTGAATGACACCAGGTCATACTTCATATCTGAGAAGCACAGCCAACGTGTTAATGAACCTCAACACACGCCTAGTAGTAAAATAACTAGAACTGTTCTCTGATGACATTAAATAATTATTTGTAGCAAATTTTCTGCTAACTTAAGCAAACATTTTCTGGAGAGGGCTTTAGACATATCCACTAACATTTGCTGAGGTACCCTCGTACATATGGTGTGGTTCTGCACTTAAATCAGGTCTGCAAATGCATTGCTTTGCTGAGTTGCTCTGGAGTTTCTTGTGATTTACTTCCAAGTCCACTTGAATATGCACATACTTCCAATGAATTAAGCAGAAGTATTTGCATAAAATTAGTCCAGCAAGCATGAAAATACCATGCTGATTAGACCTGTCCCAGTATAGCAACCTTCTCTGAGACAATTCTTATGCTTAAAGGTTGCAGGAAGAATTTTTTGCATTTATTGTCCCAAGACAGCTCAGGGTTGTAATACTGCAAGAAATTACTTAACTGCAGAATGTTTGTGAAACAAAGAAACAAGGTCCTGTTAATGAAAAAGAAGTTTCATTTTAATATGTGTGAATAACAAAAGCTAAAAGACTGTTCCAAAAGGCAGAATCATAGAATCATAAAGGTTGGAAAAGACTTTTAAGATCATCCAGTCCAGCCATCAACCCATCACGACTATGCTCACTAAACTAAGTACGTCTGAGTAACTGGCATGGAGTCTGTGTTTGGTGCAGGTTATGAGTAGTATCTGGGCATTAATCAGCTTATTCTTCAGAGTGCTCAACATTTTGTAGCACCACTGTCATGGATTTACCTTTGACAACCACCCAAAGCTACCCGAAACTCAGTGATACAAAGGATTGAGTCTTATAGGATGGAATTCAAATTTCTTAACACCCTGTAGTATCACTCTGCAATGGTCCTCCTATTGAAGGTACTTCACTCACTACGTGAATCTTTTTCCCGCATAATCATTCCACATTCCACATGAACATATAATGAATAAAATAATAATAGGCACTGTCAATAAGGATGCTCAGCTTCATCATCTATGAGACTCTCTGCTAGTTAAAACATTCACTTCACCCATTTTTGGGGGGTGTAGCATCTTCCTTGCAACAACATCAGTCCCAGCCTCAGCAAGAACTCTTTGTTTTTTCTACACGTTTTTCAGCTCCTGCATTAGCCCCTGCAATGAGATATGTAAGAACACACAGCTTCAACTGTCTACTGTCAGAGTAATGTGGTCACAGTACATTAAACTACAGAAATTCTACAGCTGCCAATATGAATGCCCCTGGAGCAGGCCAGGGATTTTATTGTGCTTTAGTTGGTGCCCAGCTTCCATGTCTAAACATGATATAGTCTGTGTCCTTCTGTTTTCTCTCCTGCCCACCATCCTTTCTCATGTCCCATGAATTGAGCACAAGGCAGGAATCAGCACAGCTGAAGGTGAAGCATTGCAGATCTATCTGTTAATGAGCAGTCTGCTGAGGGAAGGCACCAACAAGCCAAAAAACCCTGAGCTGCAGCACCTCTGAGATGTATTTTCTGTGCAGAATTTAACTCCTGCACTGCAGGA